TCTACATGTGAAGCGGAGTACATAGCTGCTTTGGAAGCAGCAAATGAAGGAGTCTGGATGAAGGAGTTCATATCCGATCAAGGTGTCATACCTAGTGCATCGGGTCCAATGAAAATCTTTTGTGACAATACTGGTGCAATTGCCTTGGCAAAGGAATCCAGATTTCACAAGAGAACCAAGCACATCAAGAGACGTTTCAATTCCATCCGCGATCAAGTCAAGGAGGGAGACATAGAGATTTGCAAGATACATACGGATCTGAATGTTGCAGACCCGTTGACTAAGCCTCTCTCACGAGCAAAACATGATCAGCACCAAGACTCCATGGGTGTTAGAGTCATCACAATGTAATCCAGATTATTGACTCTGGTGCAAGTGGGAGACTGAAGGAAATATGCCCTAGAGGCAATAATAAAGTTGTTATTTATATTTCCTTATATCATGATAAATGTTTATTATTCATGCTAGAATTGTATTAACCGGAAACTTAGTACATGTGTGAATACATAGACAAACAGAATGTCACTAGTATGCCTCTACTTGACTAGCTCGTTGAATCAATGATGGTTATGTTTCCTAACCATAGACATGAGTTGTCATTTGATTAATAGGATCACATCATTAGAGAATGATGTGATTGACTTGACCCATCCGTTAGCTTAGCACGATGATCGTTTAGTTTGTTGCTATTGCTTTCTCCATAACTTATACATGTTCCTATGACTATGAGATCATGCAACTCCCGAATACCGGAGGAACACTTAGTGTGCTATCAAACGCCACAACGTAACTGGATGACTATAAAGATGCTCTACAGGTGTCTCTGATGGTGTTCGTTGAGTTGGCATAGATCAAGATTAGGATTTGTCACTCCGATTGTCGGAGAGGTATCTCTGGGCCCTCTTGATAATGCACATCACTATAAGTCTTGCAAGCATTGTGACTAATGAGTTAGTTGTGGGATGATGTATTATGGAACGAGTAAAGAGACTTGCCGGTAACGAGATTGAACTAGGTATTGAGATACCGACGATCGAATCTCGGGAAGTAACATACCGATGACAAAGGAACAACGTATGTTGTTATGCGGTTTGACCGATAAAGATCTTCGTAGAATATGTGGGAGCCAGTATGAATATCCAGGTTCCGCTATTGGTTATTGACCGGAGACGTGTCTCGGTCATGTCTACATAGTTCTCGAACCCGTAGGGTCCGCACGCTTAACGTTCGGTGATGATCGGTATTATGCGTTTATGTGTTTTGATGTACCGAAGGTAGTTCGGAGTCCCGTATATGATCACGTACATGACGAGGAATCTCGAAATGGTCAAGACATAAAGATTGATATATTGGATGACTATATTCGGACACCGGATGAGTTCCGGGGGTCATGATAATTATCGGAGTGCCGGGGGGTTATCGGAACCCCCGGGGGACTAATGGGCCAACATGGGCCTTAGTGAAGAGAGAGAGGGCTGGACAAGGCAGGGTCGCGCACCCCTCCCCCTCTAGTCCGAATTGTACTAGGGAAGGGGGGCGACGCCCCCCTTTCCTTCTCTTCTCTCCCTCTCCTTCCTTCCCCCTTCCTCCTCCTAGTTGGACTAGGAAAAGGGGAGTCCTACACCTACTAAGAGGAGGACTCCTCCCCTCCTTGGCGTGTCTCCAAGGGCCGGCCGGCCTCCCACCTGGCTCCTTTATATACGGGGGCAGGGGCACCCTAGAACACACAAGTTGATCATTGATCCCTTAGCCGTGTGCGGTGCCCCCCTCCACCATAATCCACCTCGGTCATATCATCGTAGTGCTTAGGCGAAGCCCTGCGACGGTAGCTTCATCATCATCGTCATCACGCCGTCGTGCTGACGAAGCTCTCCCTCGACACTCAGATGGATCAAGAGTTCGTGGGACGTCACCGAGCCGAACGTGTGCAGATCACTGAGGTGTCGTACTTTCGGTACTAGGATCGGTCGGATCGTGAAGACGTACGACTACATCAACCGCGTTGTCATAATGCTTCCGCTTACGATCTACGAGGGTACGTGGACAACACTCTTCCCTCTCGTTGCTATGCATCACCATGATAGATCTTGCGTGTGCGTAGGATTTTTTTTGAAATTATCACGTTTCCCAACAGTGCCCACCCAGGTGCCCCCCTTCGGTAGGTCTTGGCTCCAGAAATACTTATATATTATATAAAAATTCCTCGCAAAGTTTCGTTCTATTCTGAGAACTTTTATTTCTGCACAAAAACCACACCATGGTAGTTCTGCTGAAAACAGCGTCAGTCCGGGGTTAGTTTCATTCAAATCATGCAAATTAGAGTTCAAAACAAGAGGAAAAGCGTTAGAAAAAGTAGATACGTTGGAGACGTATCATGTCTTACAATGGATGCCTTGTGCGATTCACGATTACAAGTATGAACTAGAGGAATGTGAACTATGGTGGTGATGGTGGCTATGGAGATGGGAAATGACGATGGCTAGGGTTGATGAAGGGGATGAAGATGGCTCTATTTTGTCTTTGCTCGCGGACGTTATGCTGACACTTCGGCATGGTCCCCTTTATAAAAGTTATTTAGGTGGACAAGGAGCTTCGCAGTTCATGCCATACGACCGCTCATACGGGTGATCGTGGTCACATGGAACGCCATATTTTGCTCTGTGGCTCCTCGCGTGCCTCCTGATGATTTCTTTTATCTCCTTTCCCAGTCATTTTCATGTTCACACACAATTTATTCCCTTTTTAGCACATTTTCTATGGAAACACATCAAAAAGAGGATTTATGGAATCCTTTGCATTCATTAGTCATTAGTAGCAATATCGAAGCGAATATCTCGATTTTAATGAAATATCTTGGTTTAAACAAAGGGTGAATGCGTGTAGAAATATCACTCATCAGTCAACACCTAAACCTAAACCATTGAGCAGCGTAGTGTACCGGAAGCAATGGATGACCTAGTCGACGTTGATCTACAATCCAACGGGTGAGGGGACGACTTACCACTTTGCGCTTTCTCCATGGCCACTGATCTCGTATATGAATTTACTTTCTATACTCTGCCCTTTTACCATTATAATGGTCTCTTATTGTGTTGTAAAACTATAAAGCTAGAGTTCCGGATCTAGATAAGGCATGAGAGCATCAACAACCAGGCGCCCCAAATCAGTCTCAAATGCGCAGGGGAGCGGATCAGTTATTGAGTGATCACAAAAAGGCGAACCAACCGGACGCCTCAAACCACCATCAAACGTCCGGGCTGACCGGCGCCCCTCATATCCGGCGCAAATCTAGGGCGGATATGAGGCGGCCTGGGCACGTCCGCCACATCGCGCGGTGTACCTTTGGCCCACCACGACCCCACAAAATCCCCCTCCGGAGCAAACCCTGGCCTTAGTTCACTCCGCTCTGCTCTGCTCCCCTTTCTCCAATCCGTCAAATCCCGCCAGGGACCGTGTCCAGCACCGGCAGCCAGTCCTGCGATAGCTCTAGAGATGAGGACAAGATGGCACTCCGCATCGCGCTAGAGCGCTCACGGGTGGATACAGGCAGCAGCTCCTGCTTAGGTGCGACGCCGCCTGTCGCATGGAGCTGCAGCGCCGATGCCAGGGTCGGCCCTTCCTACCCTGCGCGAGGATCTGCGAGGGCGGCTCAATCGGCCCCGTCCGTCCGACGGTCTCCTCCACCTCCGGTCGTTGCTCCGGGCAGACAACAGTGGGTTCTACCGCCGCCCGCCATGAGAGGCAGAGGGCAAGGGAGATGGGGGCCGCGTCGGACCCGGCTGTGCAGTTCTCCTGCCGCCACTGTGTGATGCCGGCGATGCCCAACGAGGATGAATGTCTCTTCCAGTGGGTGTACCGTCGGTCACATATAACGGCGAAGACAGATGCCCGACGACTCCTGAGGATCAATGCCAAGCAGCTCCGACTCGGCATTGAGCAGTCCGAGCGGGAGGCGGCGGAGGCAGCGAGCGTGGCCAAGCTCAAGCGCAAACAAGACCGCATTGTCCGGCGCTTGAAGGGCTAGATCGTCATCTCCGATTTCTCCTCCTCCGACAGGTCCGACTCCCACGCTCCGATATCGACCCACCTCCTGCCGTGGAAGCCTGCAACAGTGCCGGCAATCGAAAGGGTCAAGGGCCGGCAAGGAAGTGGTGAAGCTTCGCCCTCCCATATCTAGCTAGAATTTGCCACACAGTTTGAACTGCGTGAACTATGACTTTTTGCTATCAGTTTATCAATTTAGAGTCCGTCCCTCGTTTTCCTGTCCATTTTGCCCGGGGATGTGGACACGTGAATTTAGAGACTGCCCGGTTACTGTCCGCGGACGAACCCCGCAGCCATATAGGGTGCCCGATTTGGCATGTCCAGCTGTAGATGGATATGAGATACTCGAATGTGGACACATAGATTTAAAGACTGTCTTGTCACTATCCGCGGACGCACCCTGCAGTCGTATAGGATGCACGGTGCCGGATTTGGCAAGTCCAGCTGTAGATGTTGTGTGCTCAGTTGTTCCTACTCACAAAGAAGCATATCCTAGATCATCCAAAATTGAGCGTTGTTTCCTCTCAAACCTGGCTACTTGTTGTCTGATCCCTGCTGTCTGAACAAATCGACAGCTTCAGGTAAACAGACCCTGCCATGTGCTTACGCTGATGTGAACCCAAACAACGAAAACCACAGATCGAGCAAAGAAGCCACCGAGATGCCATGAAACAGCTTAGTAAGCAAAAGACTTTTAATACACATGCCCGGCTCCCAAATGAAATTGGGGTCTCCAGGCCCTCACTAATCTGCATCATCCCCCTATCAACTTGAGTCCCTTGTGCAAAACTACTATCGCTATCACCTTCTTACTACTACTAGGAGTTATTGACAGAACCATTTCTTACAGAGGAGAAACGGAAACCAGAGCCAAAAACGAGCGGCACACCCAACAAAAAAAGAAGTAACTTGCTTTGATGCTCCCATCCCGAGTTCAGTTCATGGGAGAACTCTGTTCAGTAACGGCCGCCGCCGCTGCCGACCATCTCGCTGTAGTGCTTCAGCGACTCCTGCCGCTGCAGCCGCATCTCCATGTTGAACTTGTTGATGAAGGCCTCCACACGCCGGTTCAGCTCGTCCTGCCCCAGCGACGGCTCGCGCCGAACCTTCCTCTCGCCTGCGCCGGCCACGGCCGCGGCGGGGTCGTTGAACGTCTCCGCCTTGCGCATCGTCGCCGCGGGGGGCGCCGCCTCCTCGCCGCCGCCGGACGGACGGCGGCCCGGGCGGGTGTCGAAGGTGTCCGACTTCTTGAGGTGTCGCGCCAGCGGCGGCGCCCGCCCCTCCGTGATGGCCTTCCACGTGCTCTCCAGAGTGTCCTCCCTCCGCGGCCGCGACACCCGCAGCGCCCTGCTGCCTGCGACGACATGCACAATCGACATCAACACAAAATTTCTTTTGTTGCTATGGAATTCCACAAAAGCGTTCAAGATTCGGCAAAAGTCTGGTCTTTGCAGGCCAGAATAGTCGAGGAATTAAATTGCTCGGCGAATTGCCCAGAGTATTAGGCGGTGTTGTTACCTTCTGGGCTGGGCTTGGCCGCCTTACGACCGAACCGCGCAGACGACAGCGGCTTCTCCCTCTTGTTCGTCAGGTCCGCGAACGGCGCCACCTCGACCTCCGTCTCCGTGACCCTCCGCTGCGGCGTCCATGCAGATCTTGAAATCAGGAAGTCCCCCTCCTCCTCCATCTCAGGCGCCGGCACCGGCGCAGGGGGCGTCTTGACCATCGGCACGGCCTCCGGAACACGCGGCTCCGGAACGGGCACCGTCATCGCCATGGTGACTGCAGGTGCACTCACCTCCATCGGCATGGCCAATCCCGGGGAAGGCACTGGAACCGGCTCCGTCCCCACAGCGGCGTGGGAGCCCGACGCGCGGCTGGTCTGGAACTTGGAGGACGCGGCGATGGAGATGATGATGGCGTTGATGACGAGGTACAGGTAGGGCGGCGTGAGCCAGGTGGCCGCCGCGGCCTGCGCGCGCGGGATCTCCTCCGCCACGAACCCCGCCGCCGCCGGCCCCACCATCCTCACCCCGGCGGCCACCAGCACGGCCGCCGCGGCCGCCGCCCCGGCCTTCACCGTCCGCGCGCACCCCATCGCCTCCTCGCAGCCGCCGCCAAAATCCTCTCGACCGTTCTCCTTCCTTCTCCCCCACTCACCGTGACCGTGCGTGCGCGTGCGGTGCGTTTGTGCGCGAAATGAATGGAAGCGAAGCGAGCAAGCGGGGAGGTGGGCGCACCGGGACGGGCGGCAATTTATAGCGGAGCGGCTTTGAGCTCCCCGGATATCCGTACGCGCGGGCCGCGTCGGGGGGGTGACGGTGAGACGCGGGCCGTCGGATGGGGGCTTTGGACGGCGGGGGATGCACGGGGGAGGCCTGCCGCACGTTTTTCCGTTGCACGGAACGGAAACGTCTAGACCATCATGAGTAGTGTGGCCCGTGTGACCGCGGGGTCTTTGGCCGGTGGAGACCATACTAGTGGACGTCGACCTTTCACGATTACTCCTAATTACTACCATAGTACCACTACTGTGCTTATGCTTAATCCAACTGTTTGTTGTTCACCTGCTGATAAAGAATTCTCATGGAGTTATCTTAATCGACTCTGTTACTGCAGATGTACGAGTAACAGTTTAGATATGGTGTCATCGTGACATGTCTTTGTGCTCGCGTAAACAGCACAGAATCGTGCCATCATGTGGGTTCATTGATACATTACAGGCTGGATGGAGATCGTAAAGGCGGAAGTGATCGGAGATTGTACATGATGATGGCTGTTGAGAGAGAGGGGCTTCCATCTTCAAACGGTCGGGAAAATAGCCGTTGGACGCGGACGCGCGGGCCCGCTCGGTAGTCGGCCCGGGGCTCTCCCAGCCACGTACCGCTGCTGGCCCCTCGCGCCGAACCGCGACGGTTGCCCTGGTGGCATCCGCTTCCCCTCGCGCAAACGGTCCAGCTCAGCTGACATCACGGACGCCACCGCCACCGCACCGCGTGCTCATCGGCGGCAGCTGCCGTCGCTCGCTCCCTCTTGTCTCGTGTCTATCTTCTCTCCTCTTTCCCCGTGCGCAGGTTCCAGCCTCTTCCTCAGTCCTCACACACATCGACCTGAGCTCCATGCCTTTGAGCGACTCATGACGTGCTACCAGTGTAGTGTTGGAAATATGAACAATTTACCAAATAATTTTATTAATAGAAATATTAGATAAGGACTGTGCTAACTTCCACACGTACGGGAGTTTAGCAACAGATCCGAATGACACCATCAACTCAATAGTATGCATGCATGCATGTAATGTAATCACATTAAGCTACTCACGTATTTGTAATAGTCAATCTCATGCAACCATGCATATAGAACAAAATTGCTGACATCATTAAATATTCTCTCAATCTTCAAATTCAAAATGTTTTGTAGCTCAAACCGCCGCTTCGATTGAAAAACTATTTTCACATAAAATATTCGTCACGACGAGACCTTCGAAACAAGATCCCATGTTGGTATGTTTCGACGACTTTCTTTTGGTATCAAAAGTTATCAGACTTAGGCTAAATAACTTATCATCCCTGTGGTACGTCACTTATCATCCTGTTTACATAGAAATTACCGAGGCATAAAAATGGCTCCTCCAACAATCCCTCCAAATGCAAATGCACTAGAGCACAGGAAAGCAGATGTCATTGTAGATTCTTGCTCTTTTGAAACTGTAAAATATTTTATAACTCAAACTATCATTTTTATTGAAAAATTGTTTCGCAAAAAAATTCCATCGCGACGAGAACTTTGAAATTAGATCTCATGTTGTCATATTTTGATCAAAAGTTACTAGAAAATTATCAGTTATGTTATATGTATATTACCATGTTATTTATGTAGAAGTGACCGAAGGTGTGTTTTCAAAGACTTCTTTCTCCGGGGTCAAAGTTACCGTGGTATTTGTACCTAATTTATCAGGTCCGCGATGCATATATTACCATGCTATTTGCATAGAAGTAACCGGGGTATGTTTCAACAACTTCTTTTCAGGTCTAAATTTACTTCAGTGTTTGTACCTAAGTTATCAGATCTGCGATGTGTGAGTTACCATGCTATTCACACAAAAGTTACCGAGGGGATATTTCATCAACCCCTCCCCCATGCCAAAGTTATCAGGACCGAGGTACACAAGTTATCAGGTCTGCGATATGAGTGTTACCATGTATTTCACATAAAAGTTACCAGGGGGATATTTCATCACCCCCCATACACACACACACCCCATGCCAAAGTTATCAGGACCGTGTTACATAAGTTATCAGGTGTGTGATGTGTGAGTTATCATGC